TGGATTTTAGCATGCAGTAGCGAACTACTAGATGATCAATCCCGCCCTTGAGGATCAAAGTGTTTCTTTGTTGTGTTAACTGATGAGCTAAATGACTGAAAAGAGCTAACATACAATGGATTAAATTAATCCCAGGAGCATAGCATGGTTGATACAGAGTTTGTATTCAAATATGAAAACAATTAAGCTACCTTTGTAAACATTGTTCTTTTTCGTGCTTTTTCCATTTTAGAAGAATTGTTAGGGCTGAAGATACAGCTTGGTCGATAGAACTGGCATGCACAAGGCCCTGGTTCAAACCCTAGTACAGCATAACCTGTGCATAATGAATATCACATACTCACCATCTCGGCATATAGGAGTTGGAGGCAGGATGATCATGAGTTCAAGGCCAGCTTACGGAACATGAGACCCTGTCTCAAAATCCATTTGCATACATCAAGGAAGAACTGTTATTGGTGAGCTTTCCAAAAGAGCAATATTCCAACAACACGTCATCTTTTGTGGTGGACAAAAAGGGCAAATCAGTGTGAGTGCTACATTAGAAAGGGCTTAGAACTAACTAATCCAAATCTGATTCTACCTTCTCTGCTTTGAGACACTTGTGAGAAACAGGATGGTGCTAACTCTTAGCAATGGAAACAGTCATTTAAGTAGATCCAATTCTAAGCATATGCACTGTAGCTCTAGATTCTGAGTAAATTATTTCCTGTTAATTTTGTCCCAGGTTCTTTGAAAATGAGTCAGTCTTGATTTAAACCGTGTCTTGTACAAATTTCTTCTCTGAAGTAAAATCCAAGGCCTATATGCATCCTCATATATTTTACCCTCATGTCTCATTCAAAAAAACTGTTTCTGTGGAAGTCTTCATAGGTTGCACCAACTTGGACTTTGATGTGTGATACAAGGCACAATGTCTGATGCTGTATAAGTCTTAATTCTAATTCATTGCTGTAATCAGCTTATTTTTAAATATGAAAATTTTGAAAATGTATTTCCATCAATTCCACAAAACTGCTGAATTCTGAATGAATTTGAATATAATTTAGAATTAAATATAAATAGAATATAATTTAGTCTTTGATCGAAGTGAACTAAAGTCATCATAAATTCTACAAAAGAAGGATTATGAAGATAATCCTTAAGTTAAACCATGAAAACCTTCATAATATGAACGTTAACCATTTTTGTATGTCTTAAGGGATAATAGCTATAGGTTAACACAATGTCCATCACATATACGGAAATCGTCGTCTGAGACCACAGTTTCAAATGAGTCGGTCCATGGCCATTTGCCATTGCGCCTCAAGCCTGAGCTAAGGTGTATTATCATGGTGGGAGCACAGACAGAAGTGGTCAGTTCACCTCATAGCAGCCATTAGAGGCTAGGGTCCCCATACCCATTTCAAGGGATGCCTCCATCCCTTGTGAAATTCTAAGTGAACTTCTAAGACCCATATCCTGAAGATTGTCTCACCCCCTGGTAGTGCCACAGGCACCCAAGCCTTTCATCTAGCCTTTAGGGAGCATTTGAGATCCTAAGTGTGTGTGTGTGTGTGTGTGTGTGTATATATATATATATATATATATATGTGTGTGTGTGTGTGTGTGTATATATATATATATACATACATATATATGTGTATATATATATATATATATCTTGAAAGGCAGCTGTGTTCCTACCATCAATGTTATTATGTATCTTAATTGTAATATTGTATAAAGAGCACAGAAGGCTAAAAATCTCCAACTCTTGTACTCACTGAATCTGAAACTGAAGATAATATAAAACCCTGTATGTATTCCTTCTGAATTAGCATTCATAATCTAACTGAATAAGGTCTCTAAAATATGTAAATCCTAAACATTTCAAAAGTAACAAATCATTTAACCATGGAAGATTATTGGATTAAAAATGAATATGAAGATTTTATAGGTTTTTTTAGGTGTTTTTTTTTTAAGGTTTTTAAAGGTTGTTGATGTTGCTTGTATGTGTGTTTGCCTGTGTGAGTTTCTGTGCACCATGGCCGTGAAGGAACCTAAAGAGACCAGAAGATGTTTCAGATCCCCTGAAACTGGAGTTACAGGTGGTTGTGAGTCACCGTGTAGGTGCTGGGAACTGAACCTGGGCCCTTTTTTTTTTCTTTTTTTTCTTTTTTTTTTTTTTCCAGAGCTGAGGGCCGAACCCAGGGCCTTGTGCTTGCTAGGCAAGCGCTCTACCACTAAGCTAAATCCCTAACCCCTCAACCTGGGCCCTTTAACAAGAACAGCAAGTGCCCTTAACCACTGAGCCATCTCTCCATCCCCAAGACATAATGCCTTCATATTGCTCATCATTGAAGAGCAACTGCAGATCCTAACTTACATGCTGATCTCAAGCAAATGCTGCCCCCAAACACCAACGCCTCTATATATCCCCACACAGAAAAATTCTTTTAAAATTATATTTTTCTAGGAAGAAGTGAATTTGATAATTGTTTTACTGCCACATCTAAGAGAGAAAGAGACAGACTTTTATTTACCTTGTCACTCGGGGCCATGTGGGGTAACAAAGCACATGTTCAGAAGGCAAAAAAGGAGCGAGGTATAAAATGTCGACGGGGCCTTTATTGCAGATTTCACACAGGGCAAGTCCCCATGAACAGTTTAGCCAGCCTAAGATCTGATGCTTTGAACAGTTTCTTCAGGCCATGGAATGGTTCTGGCTATATACCTGGCCCTGGGCTGATTTAGTACAGAGACATTGTTTTGGTATATGAGAGATTAATGAAGGAGATGGCTGGGTTTATGCATGAAGAAATACCACAAAGCAAGCTGTTAATTATCCCTAGGAAGATGCTAGCTCTAACTGTTAGGAATTAGCTAACTACTCTAACATGAGAGGTCCCTCTCCCCTCACCACAAGCCTATAAGACCTATGCTTATGCTACAGAAATGTATTCCCTCACAGTTTTAGAGGTTAGGGCCTTGCCTCATCAGTCCACAGCAAGACAGTAAAAGGAGTGAAAGCATGAAATGGGGCTGAATTTGTCCTTTTAGGAACATGATGCTGACTTACGGCATTTATTCAGTCATATCACTGACTTGGTCACTACTTTCGTGTGGGTCTTTCCTTTCAACTCCATGTCACTGAAAATCAGATTTCCAAATAGTATGAGGGACCCACTGAAATCAGAGCAAGCCTCAGTCTATCAAAGCATCACAAAATTTACAACATAAAAGAAGAGTGATTAACACAGCAGAAGTATTTATTCAGTTTTCAATTATTCACTAGCAAATTGAAGAAACCGCATACCTAATCACACATAACAACTTATTTGTTTGTAATTGATAAGTTAAAATAAATGGATTCCTATAACTTAAATATGTCCAATTTGTAGGAATGCTGTTTGTATCTCTATAGTAGCATTTTGATACACAAATCTACATATTAATATTTCATATGGTGATGGTTGAAAATAAAAGTGCTAAAATCAGAACCAGAGTCGAGTCTGAATCATTCCTTCACCAACTTACTTCATTTGATCCTCTCCCCACAGTTGTGTGGCAACACTTATGAAATCCTCTTAGAGTCAATGTGTAAGTTAATTGGACAATAAATACTCAAACATTCTTAACTAAGTGTCCAGGTAAATGCAAGTCAACAGAAGTCCACAGCTATTCCTCTTATTAGGTTTTTAATTTTTAGACATTCTTTAAGCACAACTAAACAAATCATCCCTATGAAAACACAAATGCCATGCAATTCTCCAAATGACTTTTAATTATTTAAAAGATTTTTTGATTTAATCTTAATTTATCTGCATGGGTGTTTTGCCTGAGTGTATGTCTGTGTACCACTTGTGTGCCTGGTCCTGCAAAAGCCAGAAGAGGGTGTCTGATCCCCTGGAAATGGAGTTATAGACACCATATGGGTACTGGGAATTGAACCTGGGTCCTTTGGAAGAGTGGCAGCTGCTCTTAACTGCTAGGCCATCTCTCCAGCTCCCTATCTAAAAACTTTATAATGAAAATGTCTGGGCCATAACTAGCCAGAACATTATGTCACTTGAGAAAGCTTTGTCTTAGAATCACAGTCACTATATTTAATAACTAAGACTTACACAAAAATCAGAGAATCACCAGCCTTACTGGGAACACCAAAGTATGTGTGCTCCAAGTGGGGGGCGGGGCCTTTAGCTCATTGGTGCCAAATACACATGCACACTTATACACATGCACACTCACACTGTCACACACACACAAAGAAGTGTACAATATGCTTTATCAACTCTTTTTTTTTCTTTTGGTTTTTCGAGACAGGGTTTCTCTGTGTAGCTTTGGAATCTATCCTGGAACTCTCTCTGTAGACCAGGCTGGCCTCGAACCCACAGAGATCCGCCGGCCTCTGCCTCCCGAGTGCTGGGATTAAAGGCATGTGCCACCTCTCCCCGGCTATCATCACATTTCTTAAGCTTACAAGAGTTTTCCTATCTGGAAATTTTAGAATCTTTTTCACAATATTCTGAAAAATTGGCTCAGTCCCTATTTACTTAGCTCTTGCTCTCTGCCTTCTATTGAGAAGTTTTTGAAAGAGAGGCAGAGGAGGAAAGACTAAGTAATGTGGGGAATGCTGGGTGGAAGTTCTTTGCTATGCCCAGCAGCCTTCATAAATAAGATTATCTCTCAAATTTGCACACAGACTTATTATCATCCTGACTGCAATCATGGAGAAGATGACTGGGGCATGGGCATGAAGACAATTTAATGAAATGAGTTTCTTTTCCTTTGAATCCTTTGAAGAAGAGAATCATTAGACAGAAACTTGTATTTACCCAGGTTATGAAGCATGTCAGCTTGGTGATGTGCTCTTGGCACTAAGTCCTTAATTAGAAATTCCTTGAGAGCTGCTTCCAACAGGTGCTCCAAGACAAAAGGATGAAATGATCTTGAAGAGGAGCCCTTACTAAGCACAGAACACACAGGCTCAGATGAACTGGAAGGAATAACGTGTCGGTAGTAAGAGAAGTGTCATGACGGTGTGCTGGATTTTGAATGAGAGCATGTCCACCGTGGTGGTTGTGAGTATCACTCCTGTTAGTTGTATCTAAGAGTCACTCATTCTTGGGGTGACATTTCTAAAACAGTTAAAGTCTGGAAATGCGACATTAGACATGAGACTAAAAACTTGTTAGCAGACATCCATTGAATATATTTAATTTACCCTTATAGAATCATGCAAAGTTGTTTTCCAGTTCAGCCCATTCTTAAGTATTGAAGACAAGTAAGTTGTATTGCATGATGTAGAAGTGTAGCTCTCTATCGAATGAGGTTTTTGAATTAGCCTGTGGAGTTGTCATTTTTTAGAGTGCTTTAAAGATGTCCCGCCTCTTCTCACCATGTCAATCCCTGTTGCCTTAGAAGAGTCTATGCTTGTCCGTTGACCCCACATATTTAAAACAACTTTAACAAACTCAGTCATTTATTCTTATCTATCATCATTGCTAAGATCTAATCTGTAAGAAATAAATGTATGGAGCAGTTCTGATGAATACCGACAAGCTCTCCATTTCATCTGAAAAGATGAAGAGCCCCCAAGTGATCCTGAGTGGGAGAATGGTGGACAATGGCATTGATCATGTCTCCTTTTGTTACATCCTAGCTCTCATGGCTGACAGTAAATTTCTATCTATTTATTGACACGTTCTGTTGGTACGCCGAAGAGGAGGCTTTCTTTTATACACGAGTTATTCTGGGTGTAAGTAGATTTAATGACAATCTGTTATTGTTTCAGAAAAGAAAGTGCATTCTATTTTTCCAAGCTTCCATGTTTTCACTATCCCTCCTTTTTATGTTTCTGACTTATGGACAGTCTACACTGGCGTGGGCCCGAGCATCTGCGGTGTGCCTGAATTTTAACTGCATGCTAATTCTGTTACCTGTCAGTCGAAACTTCATTTCACTAGTGAGGGGAACGAGTATGGTAAGTACTAAAATATTTTAAGTAAGCTCAGTTGTTGTTTCTTCCTAACATAGTGCAACGGAAGGCTGGAAAGATGACCCAGCAGGTATGAGTGCTTTCCATGCAAGCCTTAGGATCTCAGTTCAAATCCCCAGAAGCTATGAAAAAAAAAAAAAAAAAACGGGGTGTATTTGTATGTGTCTGTAACACCAGCACTGTTGTAAGTCAGAGGCAGGAGGATCACCAGGGACTAACTGGCCACCAACCTAACTCCAGACTCAATAAGGGCCCTTATCTCAAGAAAATCGGGCAGAGAGTGGTAAAGTAGGCAGCCTGGTGTTCTCTGGCTTTGACCTGCATATATGGGTATACACATGCACATACATACACACATGCACCTACACCCCATACAAATATCCCATGCTCACAATCATACATACTTACACACACACACACACACACACACACACACACACACACACACACATACACTGTTTTTACAAGTGTAATTGGAAAACATGTATTTTCCTATGAAACTCCCAGGAGTTTGCATTTACACTAGTTAAAACTCAAAGTCAGTACATCCAATTTGACTTGGGTTTTTGCCATTGACACTGGACTCCGTCACTCAACCTTTTCCCACATGGAGATGAAAGGATTATGATGGTTTGAACGACAAGTATTTCTGCCTGTAGGGTGTAGCTTGAGTTCTCCTGCCTGGCCCACAGTCAGGACAAATCTCTCTCACCTGCCAGTCCCACAGCCCCTCAGACCCAACCAAGTAAACACAGAGACTTATATTGGTTACAAACTGTATGGCTGTGGCAGGCTTCTTGCTAACTGTTCTTACAGCTTAAATTAATCCATTTCCATTCATCTATACCTTGCCACATGGCTCATGGCTTACCGGCATCTTCACATGCTGTTTCTCATCGTGGCGGCTGGCAGCGTCTCTCTGACTCAGCCTTCCACTTCCCAGCTTTATTCTCCTCCTTGTCCCGCCTACACTTCCTGCCTAGCCAATGGCCAATCAGTGTTCTATTTATTGACTAATTAGCAACACATTTGCCATACAGTAACATCCCACAGCAGTAGGGAGATAAACAAAATACTGAGACAGGCACCACTTAGGAAACATCTGAGATCCTACCACAAGCACACTCACAGGACCCAGATTGAATCTGGTCATTTTAACTGATCAGTGGTAACACCTTTCCTAATTCTATTTATTCCATCGTGCCCATTACCTGCTTTCTTCTGATAATGAAAACAACACGCAGAAAAATAAGATTGCCATTCCCCTTTATCAGGAGAAATACCTCATTGTGGAATCATCACAGCTTAATGAATATTAGTCATAGATGTAGAGTAGCCTTCTTTGCATAATAAGAAATAGTGTACAGGTTACTTAAAACACATGGGCTTAGGTGGCAGTTACCACTTCCTTGTTCTGTACTAACATGCTGACTGAGACATGGCTGTAAGGTTTATTTAAGAGCTTTGAGTTATGGCCAGAGAGCTAAGAATTCCAGCATTTGGACTGAGCTGAAATGCCAGCAAAACAGCTGAAAATCTTTTGTTTTCCTGTGATCAGGTGCCACTAGGCTTTAAGTCTTGTGTCCCCACCTGAAGCAACATAGAGGTCCATCAAGCCTCAGTCTTAACCTCTTAGGTCTCATGGCATGTTAGATCTGTGCCCACTTCCCTAACTCATTTATTCTTTTATTTTGATACCTCAGTGCTGCAGAGGACCATGGGGAAGGCACCTAGACAAAAACCTCAAGTTCCACAAACTTGTTGCCTATGGGATAGCTGTTAATGCAGGTAAGAGCTTACTAATCGTCTAGCGGGTTTGGAACTGTCTCAATGTCTAACTTCAGAGTTTTGTTTGAATCTCTCCCAGTCTTGCCTCTAGAGGAAAGAAACTTTCACCCTTTATCTGACCACATGAAACCTTGTATTTACATTTTTTTCAATTTCTAATCTATACTTAAATGAATTTTTCCATAATAATGCCTCAATTATCAAAGGAAGTGAGATTTCCTTTTGTTTGTGAATAAGTGGCTTGTTTGCAATACAGTGACACATACTATGTAATGCTATTCAAATGAGCATTTTGTTATTTGTATAATCCAGAACTAAAACCGACTTAGAGCCAAAATCTCAATCATATAATAGGAAAATGGTTATTGCCATTTTAATGTTAGATACAAATAGGAGAGCATTCTTCTTTGTGTGGTGAAGATACCTTACTCTTAACTCTGACATCAGAGGCAGGAAAAGGAAAAGAGAAAAGAATGGTCATGTGAACTGGGTTCTGAATAGTGTTGAGTTAGTAGACATAAAAGGGTCATGAAAAACACAGATTGTACGGCATATGAACAGCTATGGTTACTGTTACACTTGTCATTTAAGGAGGAATTAGTATCTATATGCAAGGTTAGTCACCCACGAGGAAGACAAAATGAAAGGAGAGGTAGCAATCAGCTGACTTGTGGTTTTGCTGGGAAACAAAGACATTGAAATCAAAGGCCACCGGAACGATAGAGTTATGATTCGGGACTCTTCCTCTCAAACTAATTTAACTATAAAATGTTTTCCTCATTTGTTTTTATTCTCTCATGCATAAAAAATAGCAGAGTAAAAGGAACACTCAAAACAAATGTGAATTTAATTAAGCAACAAGACATGACAGACGGTGCCCGAGTGCCAATTAACACAACTTTGGGTGTGCAGTGAGACATGTGGAGAAGATTCTCCCCACTGATTGTCTTAAACGCCAGATCAAACCAACTCAAGATATGCTTTACAGAAGGTCTTTGTGGTTTGTGAGGAAATTAGTGTAAAAAAAAAAATCAAGTCCTAGATGAAACAGCTGGTGGACAGAGGGTTAGGGTTAGGACAAGGCTGGTCTAGCTGCATGTCTCAGGGCCTAGAACACTGCAGAACACACCCGTGTGCCTGAAAATGAGGGGCAATGCCAGTAAATGGACATTAGCTTGGAAATGGAAGTCGTTTCCACACTTTGAAACTATCAAAAATCAGCATTAGTTTCCCCCTGAGGGCACTGAGCTCCCTGCCTCGGGGGCTTCCAGGCATAGGCCAGCAAGTGGGAAGGAACTCTAGGAATCTCTGGGCTTGTATTAAAATCCTCATAATTCCTTATTTTGCATTAAGAATAGAGATTGAATGCAGTAAGAGTCAATAATGATCTTCTTACTATACATAGCTTAAAGGCAAACTCAGACTCTATAAGAAAGTTGTGAGGATATAAAGAAAAGGGGGGGCATCAAAATGCATCAGAAAGAAACATGAAGGCTACATGAAAACATGAGTTGGAAAGGCTTTCTTCTTAAACCTCTGAGTATACATTCTTTATATGTGCTCATATGTCAATAGTATGAATGCATAGGCGATATACATTGAATGCCTCGGTGCTATTTCAGGATGATGTGAAATTTAATGTGAGCAGCATTTACCTAGGATCATGTGACCAGCTTCTTTTTTAGTTCACTATTGCTAGCTGTATGAGCTCAGAGTAGGTCTCCTCAGCACTCTGTGGAATTAAAAGAGCACGATAGCAATATAGTTTCTCTACCTCTGTGAGATATGTAGATTAAATCTGCTTGGGAATCTGAAGAATGCGAGGTCATTGGTCATTTGCTCACTCGCTGTAATTGCAAATAAGATCAAGTCCCAGAGCATGGCAGATGGATTCCACAGCTAACTCGCCACACCCTCGTGGACTTTTTCCCTTGGGTAGTCTCCAGAATCTTGGATGCCTTTGCTCCGATGTTCCCTCTGCTGAAATTCCCTCTTCTTCATGGTCCTCCCTGAGTAAGACACTACCACACCGAGGAGGACCCACTTGTCTTAGACCCCATACTTCACCTACATGCCACACTCCCTAAACAAGAGTAATGATCCTGTTTCTGAGAGCCTTGGAGGCATGGGGAATCTCTTGAATCTTAGCAGCCATGGTCACTAACATAAGAAGGACTGTAACCAATTTGATCAAACCCCGGTGAGTGGTATCTAGCCACATGCAAGAGAGGCTGGAGGAATTGATAGGAAAGGCACAAGGCACAAATGCCGGAGCTCTGGGTGGATGAAACAGAGTTTGAGGGATGAATGGATTCAAAACCATACTAATCATTCAAGATTATAAATTCACATTCTGCGGCAAGGAGAAAAACCAGAATGTACTTTCTCCCTCTTCCTCTCAGAAATCTCCAAAGGGCATTAGTATTCTTTCCAACCCACTTGTCTTGAACTCCTGCTGCTCTGCTCTGTTCCTGAATATCTCCTGGGGCTCACCCTGGCAGGGTCAGAGCTGTATCTCGGAGCAAAGTACCCTCATCTGGTCTTCCATGGCAACCAGCCCCACTGCTGTGGTTTCCAGCCCAACAAAGGCAGGATGGTGGAAAGGAAATTCTCCCCCTCATCCAATCCTTGACAAAGCAATTACTGCATTTTCACATTAACTAAGAAATGTGGCTAGCCACCGTGCTTTTAGAGGGGGGAAAAAACGCTAAGCCCCGGTTTCATAGCTATACCTTGGCTTTCTCATTTGTCCTTCTGCTGTATTCATGGGGGAGCAGCCGCTGTGTTCCTGAGCTGATTTTATTAGCCTCGCCCATTATGCTGCTTTTCAAATAGCCAACTGGCTTAATAGAGGTGTGTAACCTTGGAAGAAATGCATCCGCGGAGAAGTTTGCATGCCAACCTCTAATTTCTCATCCATTCCCCTAGAAGTTGAACTGCAGGCTCTAATTGGTCGGATCATTAAAGGATGTAATTAGAGACTGGTGGATGTAGGCTAGGGAGGGGAGGGAAGAGGTGAAACAATGCTATCTCGAATCAAGGGCATCGCCGAAAAGGCAGGGACAGGAGCCGTTTCTTCCTGCCTTCCCGCTTGCCTGCCTGTGATAAGCAGGAGCCCCCTCCGACCACGAATAAATCGTGTTCAGGGGCCTGTAAGCCCACTGCTATAAAAATCGTAGTTTCACAGCCTTTACGTTCTTATTAATGTGGATCTTTCTGGATCCCCTGGTCCATGGCAGACCTTGAAGACCCCTCCAATTGAAAAGCAGGACTGGGAGCCTGGGTTTCCATCAACAGAGGTTGTAAACTGTGACCCACGCAGCTCTTTCCGCAAATTCTGCAGCTTGTGTCTGCCAGGTTTCAGGGGTGCAAAATTACCCTCAGTGCAACTCTTGATGAGTTGCTAAAATTAGCTCACAAACATCCATAAACAGAACAGGGAGGGGCAGGTTGAGAAAAGAGGCTACAGAATAAAGGGACTGAGAAAATAATGATTTGGAGCTCCCAAGGTAGAGGCAGCCCCAAAGGCACAAGCTCCTCCGGATCTGACCGCTAACCAATTGCTAGGGACCAGTCACCAGTTCCACTGGCTGTACTCAGAGAGCCAACAAGACTCCACCCGGAGTCCTGCCTCAGAGGTTTTAACGCGATTTACAAACACATGGCTCACAGTGTGCCAGAATGGATCGGTTCCCTACCATACCCGGCATTAGGAAAGTCAGTCAGATTCTGGCTTCAGAAGCATGGGGAAGATTCTCTCCTAGGTCCCCGTTTCTACGCCCGCTTTAATTAAGAAGTGGCTAACTCCAGACCCACTGTTATATCTGACAAGGAGGCAGAAGGGTACTAGAACTGACCCCTTTCCAAGATTCCCCTCAATTATATCTCCTTTGATCTCCCGGGGGGAGGGGAAGTGGGGACCCAAGAAGGCAAAGAAAGACGTAAAAGGCACTCTCTCGGGGCAACCGGCTCTAATTGTAGCCTTTATGATTTTTTTTTTTTGTCTGCTCCTCAATAAATGTTCCTCATTTGAACTCAGAAGTTCACACACCAATTAAATGCACATGCACAGCATTGCCAAGATAGCTGGTCTCTTGAAAAGTACTTGGGTGAGAAAATAGAATTGTAGGAAGACTGGCTGCCAGCCTGGTGCCTTCGGGTGGGTTATGGGAAGAGGTACCTCGAGCTCTTGCCAGGACACAACAGTGTATACCATGGAAAGTCCACAGGGGCACACGAGGAGCTCATGTTCAGTCCGTGGCATTGGATTCGGTGCAAAACTGAAGATCTCCCATTGAAACCACTCACTATGGAGTTTTGGAAACAAATTAACATACGAATTTCACATCCGTAGGTCCTTTTTGAATGAAAAGTGTTTTCAGTGAGCTTCAGAGAAATGCACAGGCATCACATGATGGAAGAGAGCTGAGATGCCATGTGGGGGTATGGGTATTATTTTTGCCCAATCTACCCATTTGACAGATGAGAAAATAGAGGCAGGAATAAATTAGGTAATTGAAAAGCATCCACTTAGGTATTCTTTCTGCTAGACACTAACACCCCATCTAATATGATGAAAGTATCTCAGTGACTGTGAAGGATAGAAACCAACCACACCTGTATCTTAAACCCATTTCAGAAATAGGTACTGTCATACCACAATGGTCTGATTGTTCATATTAAAAAGAATAAGATGTACTGTTTTAAGAAAGAGAGAAAATGCAATGTCTGAAATGGAACAAAAGCAATACCTTTCCTGTTACCTTGAGGCCCCAGCAGTCCTGAGTTCAACAGCTCATAGATATAGTTCTAGTTTACAGCCTAGATCAAATTGAAGAGGAAAATAAAGTGTTTACACAGTCAAATGGGCTCAGGTGATTTTTTACCCAGGGGGTATCTGTGATAACTAAGATATTACGCATTTAATCTACTGTGTTAAACCAAACCAAAGGTGGAGAAGGCAGAAGCAAGAGAAATTTAATATATAAACTTTAAAGTACATGAAAAATACAAGTAACATAGTTCTAGCATAGTCCCTTAGAGGCCACCTCTTGAGGGATCCCTTGGGTTTCCTTGTGCCTTCAGCTCAAACAGAATACACATGGCTATAGAAGGGAATCAGCTGCTCCATGTCCTGATTCATCGATTCCACATACTTTAGTAACACTGTTAGATTCTCATGTGGAAATCAACCTAATAGGAAACAGACTGCGATCAACAACTCATTACAAGGGAAAGGAGTGCTAGAAAAACGGTTTCTTCCTGACGGTTGGCTATCGATGGCACATTGGTAAGCCAGCCCCATAATATAATAGGAAAATCAGTTTCTAATCCTGTGAAATGGGAATGCCCCCAGTACCTGTCTCCATGGAGAGAGAATGAAAGAAAGCAAAGGGCAAAGAAGTGAGTGGGGAGAGGGGTAAAATGGAAACAAACTCTTAGGACAACTGCGGCAACGACCTCAAACACCAGGATAGAGCCTTAGCCTTAGAGACAGGGTGGCGCCACACCAAAGGACCCAAATAAGACCATCCGAATTTGATCTAAGTTCACAGGAGGAACTATTCAGAATAAATAGCAAAGTCAGTCAAAATAAAGCCTATAGTCCACATGTCTAAAGATTGGCCTTGAGGTCACATAAGCAGGTTTTCATCCATCCTTCACCATTGTCCTTTTGAATACTGGTCTGTAAAATGGGGCTTAGTGCCTACAAACCAAACCAAGTCTGGTAGGCGGTAAGCACTCCGTATAGGTTAGTTATGAGAAATACAACCCGATTTTAAAAATTAGGTCAATTATCAGAAATTTAGGAATTATGGGTGATGTCTGTGTTAAATTCAGCAAGCAGTTCCCATTTTACCTACACCAGAAGGTTGATGGCAAGTGAGCCTTCCTCTTCTTGGATTCCTGGGCTGAGCAAGAGACCCCCCTTTACAGACATGGCCACATACGGTGATGGAGTTTGAGTATTGTCCATTTTCATTCCTCTGTGGAAATACCTAATGCTGGGTATTTTATAAAGAAAATAGACTTGCTTATGAAGTGGAAATACTAAATAATGTGGTGCAAGTTCTTTCAAGTGGCCGCGAGCTGTGCTGCATCAGGACAGACAGCATTGTGTCTGGACCACACACACACAGAGGGAAAGATCACTGTGACCCCTGAAGCCAGAGCATAGGAAGGGCTAGTAATGATCTCTCCCTTCAGGACCACCTCTTAAAGGTCTCATCACTCGCCGGGCAGTGGTGGCGCACGCCTTTAATCCCAGTACTCGGGAGGCAGAGCCAGGCGGATCTCTGTGAGTTCGAGGCCAGCCTGGGCTACCAAGTGAGTTCCAGGAAAGGCGCAAAGCTACACAGAGAAACCCTGTCTTGAAAAACCAAAAAAAAAAAAAAAAAAAAAAAAAAAAAAAAAAAAAAAAGGTCTCATCACTCCTCAACATTGCCAAATCAGTGTTACCATGTGAACCTTAGCAGGGACAAACTACATACAAACCATGACCGTTCCTAAGGAGAAAACACACTATTTATTGGATGAAAACCTCACTGAACTCATAAGAAGGCAATAAAGATGACAGCTATATATCACAAGCTTTACTTTGTTTGGGGAGCTTCAGAAGTATGCTCGACTTAACTTTCAACTTAAAGCTGAAAGAAAATCACACCAGAAATATACATCAATAAATATTCGTCTCCAGTCAGAGTATAATCAATTGATTTCTTGACCCTTTCTTTTTAACCCCTCCATTTTTCTGTAATCTCATTGTCATTTAGCAAACAATTATGAAATATTTACCGAGGCTAAGCAGTGTGTCAAGCTGAGGTTTCAAGGAGGGACAAGTGTCGAGGAGTTGAAGTCCTTTGGAGACATGCGAGCACAAATAAATGATCAGAACAGTACTTTCTGGGAAGCTGTAATCAAATTATCATGTGTGTCAGTGTGTGTGTCTCTCTGTGTGTATGTGTGTGTGACTGAAGAGTGTGTATACAAAAGAACTTTTGAATGGAGTCTTAAAGCACGAGCAAGCAGAGCTTTACTACTCAGAAAAGGAACTGATTTTGATAGAAGGAGCTCAGGTAACAAAAAAAGAAAATTCAGCTAAATAGAAGATGGCATGTCTAAATCAGTGCACAGCTATGACCACAGGCACCAAAATAGCAGCAGTGTTCTCAGAAGTCTTGTGTGTGTGCATTCACACATACACACAAGTGTCTATGGAGGCCTGAAGTTGGCATTGGGTGTCTTCCTCAGTTGTTTTCTGCCTTTATTTATTTGGTTTTTTTTTTTTTTTTTTTTTTGAGACAGTCTCTCTCTGTGAGCCTGGAGCTCACCATATTTCTTGGCTAGACTGGCTGGCCAGCAATTCCAAGTATTTACCTCTTTCCCCACCTCTGCCCCACCCAGCATTGAGGGTATAAACCTGCACTGCTGTGCCCAGCTCCTATACAGGTGCTAGAGACAGAGCTCAAGTCTTCATGCTTACATGGCAAGCCCTTTCCTGACTGAGCTTTCTCCCCATCCCCAGTACTCTCAGAAGCTGCTTGGTTTTAATTTCCCTTCATTGTGCCCCACCTCTAATCACAGCGGACAATCATGGAGGATACTATAACACACCCACAATGTGTACAGACTATAATAGCAGCTGGCACAGCTACTTCCCATTGTGGATGCAGAAGTTATGAAAGTGGGAAAACTATATAACTATATAATGAATCCTGCATTCACACTTGAGTCTGATCACAATGGTATGTGTCCACTGGCCACCCACCTTGGACTCCATGGAAATAACGGGACTGCTGGCTTCCCAACAGAGTTCCCAAGCTAGGAGAGAGCAGCGTGGATGCAGAATCTTCAGGCCAGATCATACTGTATCCTTGAATTTGTCCTGTTTACCTAGAATTGAAACATCAGCTCTCAGAATTAGATAGCACTCTGTACTTAACAGCACAGAAAGAATGTTCGGTTCCACAAACACTGGCTCATTTAAATTCTGTGAGAATCATTATGTGTGTGTGTGTGTGTGTGTGTGTGTGTGTGTGTGTGTGTGTGTGCATGTGTGTGTGTGTAGATGTATAAGTGCATATATATGTATGTACCTATACACACATACATGTTAAAGTATATAGAGAGGAACAGAAAATATGTCTGAGAAAAATGCAAAGACAGTATCTCCCTGGTATCAACCTATATGTCAAATAAACATCTATTGCTGTGTGTGATGCTTGGTATTCTGAAATAATTCTTTCTGACTTCTTCAGGAAGCTTTGCATTTCTATATCCAACAATATATCATCTTTCTTTATAAATTACATTGTCTATAGAACTGTCTTGTTAGGACTACTGTTGTGCTATGATGAAACACCGTGACTAAAAAAGCAAGTTGGGGAGGAAAGGGTTTATTTGTCTCCATCACTGAGGAAGTCAGGGCAAGAGCTCAAACATGGCAGGATCCTAGAGGCAGGAGCTGATGCAGAGGCCATGGAGGGATGCTGCTTACTACCTTGCTCCCCATGGCTTGCTCAGCCTGTTTTCTTATAGAACCCAGGACCACCAGCCCAGGGATGGCTCCACTCAACAATGGAGTAGGCCCTATCACATCAATCACCAATTAAGAAAATGCCCTGTAGACTGGATCACAGCTTCCAATGGAGGCATTTTCTCAGTTGAGATTCCTCCTCTTAGGTGACTCTAGTTGGTGTCAAGTTGACATAAAACTAACCAGCACAATAACCGTGTCCTGATATTATGACTTACATCACTTCCAAAATGATTATATATATGAAATTAAATCATGGCAAATTGAGATTACTTTATTTCTTAATATAATTAAAATGCATGTGGTAAACCATACACCATATGTCCCACTCCATTCAAGACACCAGGGAAAATGCACAAATAAGTCATTTATCCTTGGCAATTGCCAAAACCATAACAACAGAGAAACTTAAGGTGGCAGCATGATGTTTTGAAAGAATTCAAAGGGATGAGTTTGATACGGCCTATGTCCGATGTCCCTTCATCCTCAGTGATCCACATTGTGGCACATTTGTTCAACATGGAGCGTTACCACCTGGGTCAAGCCAAGGATGCTGAGGGACTGCTGGCTGCACTTTCCAAACTTGGCAATGCACCAAATGAGAGCTACCTCAATCCAGTCCGCACCTTGTCTACGGTGAGTTCACGCATGCTAACCAGTCTCGCTTCTGCAGAATCCTTCTCTTCCAGTCCCTGAACCAAGAGCAATAGATTTCAAAAGCTTTACATAAAAGAGCTAGATAAAAGAGGTTCCTGCCAAATGCTAATATCCATTTCACCTTTCTTTTTGAAAAGCTAGTTTTCCAACCATTAATGTGGCTGGAAGGATATGAGCAAGGAGAAAACATACTCTGCTTAATTAATTTATAGTAAATGTACATACATGATATTTTAGAAATGCAAAGATCTATTAAAGCCCTAATATTATGAATTTTAAAAGTGGCTCCTGATCATATTTCCTTCATTGATGTTAGATTCATAAAGCATATAGCATCTAAATCCAGAAATGATAAATTGAATGCTTCATTTTCAACCTGCAAATCATTTTCTGGGTCTGTTCTCTGCACTTCCTATTCTGGCACATGTGTGAACAGCTGGTTTGCCAAACCAAATAATGATCGAAGGAGGTCCTTTCAGAATGACAACCACGTGGCCAGTGACTCCATTAGTGCTAATATCTAAAGGCATAGAGCAGTAGTGTCTCTGGGAAGAAAAAAGTAAAATCAGCCACAGCATCCTATGGTAGAGGCAAAGACCTTTCTCTCCCTCAGCTCACCCTTACATCTTCTCTTACTGGTTTATCCAAACATTGTTCTATGGACTGCCATATTGGAACAAAGACCAATTTGTTTTGTCTAGGAAAAAATAATTCATTTTCTAAGAAAAGTCTTAAGGCCATACACCCCATCAATAGGGGTCTCCCTGACTGCTATTACCTGGGCTCTATCTATAAGCGGTGGATTTGCTCATGTTCCTTTATTTGAAAAGGAAAATTCAGATTCTAGTTAGGAGGAGATTCTTCCAAGTCAAATTCTTGATTCTCTCATGAAGGCTTACAACATCAGGCCATTAATAAACTGAATTCCCTTTTCTTAACTGACAGCAATTAGAAGCACAAATTTCATAGCTACAAATCAAAACTACAGATGCCCTAAGCATGCAGAAATGCCTTTAATGCCATTTTGTTGAATCTCAGAATTTATCTGGCCACCTGTTTGGGTCTACATTTTCCCCTACTAAGGCTTTACAAAATTCACTGCTCACCAGAGACTCAAGAATAAATCTCAACATCTTGAAGAGACTATGCAATAAATAGTATTTATTATAAATAACCTTTAAAGCAATTTAACAAGCTAATTAAGCTACTTCAAACACAGTTGTTTCAAAATTTTAGAAGCAATATACTATGTAAGTACTAATTAAGCTCAGAAGCCCCTCTAATTTGGGTATTTGAAGAGATGATTATCAATAACTTGAAACATACATTGAAGCAATTCATAGGCAAGGCACTGGGATTGCCTTAAACTATTCATGGCAACTCAGACCAGTCCATAAATGTATCACATGGAAACAGGAAGAAATCTGCTTTAACAGTTTTTAAAAAAAGATTTTTAAATTAGCACATCAAATGCTGTAAACTGACTTCTAAAGTTCTGAGTGTACTTATAAAAAAATCTTTAAAATGTTTTCCGTATACCCTTTTTCAGCTTTATTCCACTTTTCTATTCTGTGAAAAGAAGAAAGTAAACAATGGAGAAGTCCCTGTCCAAATTACTTCCAAATCTCAAAGCAGCCTAAATTAATGAGGTTTTACTGACAAAAGATATAGTGTGAGTTTATTGAGCTGGTAGTTGGCTCAGTGATGGGAACACAGGATATGAATACTAATGACAAAGCAAGAATATGGGAACTCACAATAAAAACAAAATGCTTTGCAATTAATATTCTTAAAGGCTATTTAACTGCCCCTCATACTCATGGGTCAGAATCCTGCCCTTTGGGGAGTACCCACCAGATAAGAATAGCTGGACTCTTATTGATCACAGAGGATTTACCAAGCCTTATTCCAAGGCCCCCCGAGATAATGTGAAGGAAATGCAAGTCATGGTCCTTCCAATTAAAAAGCTAGAGCAAGGCATAACTACCAGGGGAGCAGAGCATGCGACTGCTTTATTAGGAGTGCCCCTAAGGAACCTCTCCCCCAAAAAGTGTTTATTAATGTTAAGATGCAATTAAGCATGGCGAGCCACGTTTTTAAATCTTAAAAAATTAAAAAACTTGAAATTTGAGCTTATTCTGCAGCAAATTGCTCTTCAAATGTTTTCTAGTACAAAATAGTAGCTTTGACAATAAAATTAATTCATGCAAATGGAAAAATATGTTCTTAATGGCATGGCATTTTATAAAATTTGAGCAAAGTAAATACCCAGGGTAAGACAGGGGAAGAAAGAAAATTTTGCACAGCTGGTTTCTTGAAGTGTACCTGGACCTTGTTGAGGTCCTGTGTGCTGGAGCAAAACACTCTAAATTGCTCTTTGCCTGGGTCCTCTAGTACTGATCCTGGGATCCAAGTGCAAAAATCCAAAATATTAATTCAGTGATACTTGTGTCTCCTAGAGCACAACCACTGAGCTACTAATGACAATCTCAGGGATTACTGGCCTGGTGATCTCTCTGGCTTTGATCTTGATTATGACCTCTTCAACTGAGTTCATCAGACAGACTTCTTATGAGCTCTTCTGGTATACACACCACATTTTCATCTTCTTCTTCATCAGTCTGGCCATCCATGGAGGAGGGTAAGTCCATGTTATACTCAGGGTGCTCAGATCTGTGTCTCTATGTATACACATTGCCTGACTATTGTGAAATTGTGAATAGAGCATCATTGAACATGGTTGAGCAAGTATTTGTCAAGTCCTTTGAGTGGTATAGCTGGGTGGTATGGCTGATCTACTTTTAGTTCTTTGAGAATGCTCCATACTTATTTCCATAATTGCTGCACCAGTTTCCAACCACACCAACAGTGAATGAAGGTTCCCTTGCCCCTGCATCCTCACCAACATTTCTTGTCAGCTGTTTTCTCCATCTTAGCCATTTTGACAGGCTCAAAATGAAATCTCAGAGTACTTTCAATTTGAATTGCTCTAATTGCTAAGGATGCTAAACACTTGGAGATATTTCTTTTTTTATAAATATTTTTATTTTATAATTAATTTAATTTTACATATCAGCCACAGATTCCCCTGTCCTCTCTACTCCTACCCCCATCCTTCCCTCCCAGCCCACCCCCCATTCCCACCTCCTCCAAGGCAAGGTCTCCCATGGGGGAGTCAGCCCAGCCTGGTAGATTCAGTTGAGGCAGGTCCAGTCCCCTCCTCCCTGCACCAAGGCTGAGCAAAGTGTCCCAGCATAGGCCCTAGGTTCCAAAAAGGCAGCTCACTGCCTGGGGGCCTCCTAAACAGTTCAAGCTAATCAACTGTCTCACTTATCCAGAGGGCCTGGTCCAGTTCCATGGGGTCTCCTCAGCTATTGATTCACAGTTCATGTGTTTCTGCTAGTTTGGCTATTTGTCCCTGTGCTTTTTCCAATCATTGTCTCAATATCTCCTGCTCATACAATCCCTCCTCTCTCTCGCTGACTGGACTCCTGGAGCTCCACCTGGGGTTTGGCCGTGGATCTCTACATCCACTCCCATCAGACACTGGATGAGAGTTCTATCATGACAGTTAGGATGTTCGGCCATCCGATCACCAGAGCAGGTCAGCTCAGGCACTCTCTCGACCATTGCCAGTAGTCTATAATAGAGGTATCTTTGTGGATTTCTGGGGAACCTCTCTAGCACTCTGCTTCTTCCTATTCCCATGGGGTCTTCATTTTCATGGTATCTCTTTCCTGTTCTCCCACTTTGTTCCTGATCCAGCTGGGACCTCCCACTCCCCTAAGCTCTTTCCCCCGATCCTTGCCCTCCATTACCCCCCACACACACCTCACCCTCAGTTTGCTCATGTAGATCTCATCCATTTCTCTGTCGCTGGGTGATCCCTGTGTCTTTCTTAGGGTCCTCTTTACTGGGTAGCCTCCCTGGAGTTGTGAGTTGCAGTCTGGTTATCCTTTGCTTTACATCCAGTATCCACTTATGAGTGAGTACATACCATGTTTGTCTTTCTGAGTCTGGGTTACCTCACTTAGGATGATATTTTCTAGTTCCATCCATTTGCCTGCAAACCTCATGATGTCATTGTTTTTCTCTGCTGAGTAGTACTCCATTGTGTATATGTACTACATTTTATTCATCCATTCTTCAGTTGAAGGGCATCAAGCCATTATCCAAACTAACCAAAAGGCAGAGAAAGAGCATCCAAACTGGAAAATATAAAAGAAATGGATAATTTTCTGGATAGGTACCACATACCTAAGTTAAATCAAGACCAGATAAACTATTTAAATAGACCAATAACCCCTAAGGAAATAGAAACAGTCATTAAAAGTCTCGCAACCAAAAAAAGCCCAGGACCAGATGGTTTCAGCACAGAATTCTACCAGATCTTCAAAGAAGAGTTAATACCAATACTCTTTAAATTGTTCCATACAATAGAAACAGAAGGAACATTACCAAACTCCTTCTATGAGGCTACAAATACCCTGATTCCCAAGCCAAACAAAGATGCAACAAAGAAAGAGAACTACAGACTGATCTCCCTCATGAACATTGATGCAAAAATACTCAATAAAATATTAGCAAACAGACTCCAAGAACACATCAAAACAGTTATCCACCATGATCAAATAAGCTTCATCCCAGAGATACAAGGGTGGTTCAACATATGAAAGTCTGTCAATGTAATACACCATATAATGGTAATGCACCATTTCTTTCTTTCATGAAAGAAAAAAAACCACATGATAATCTCACTAGATGTGGAAAAGGCCTTTGACAAAAGGTCTTGGGGAGATCAGGAATACAGGGAACATGCCTAAACATAATAAAGGCAATTTACAGCAAGCCAACAGCCAACATCAAAGTAAGTGGAGAGAAACTCAAAGCGATTCCACTAATATCAGGAACAAGACAAGGCTGTCTGCTCTCCCCATACTTATTCAATATAGTACTTGAAGTTCTAGCCAGAGCAATAAGACAACATAAGGAGATCAAGGGGATACAAACTGGAAAGGAAGAAGTCAAGCTTTCACTATTTGAAGATGACATGATAGTATACAAAAATGACCCCAAAAATTCGACTGAGGTATTTATCTGTTTTTAATTTCTTCTTTTGAGATCTCTCTGTTTAGATCCATAGCCCATGTTTTAATTGGGTTGTTTGTTTTAACCCTGGTTTCTGAATTCCTTGTATATTGTGGACATTAATCCCCTATCAGATGGACAGATAGCAAACATTTGCTCCTGCTCTGGAGCATCCTTCTCACTTAATTGTTTCCTTCACTGTACAGAGATTTTTAGTTTTTTGAAGTCACATTTGTCAACAGTTGGCCTTAATTCTTGAGTGAAAGAAGATCTATTCAGAAAGTCCTTTCCTACACCTATGTCTTGTAGGATTCTGTCTGTTTTCTTCTAACAGTATCAGTGTTTCGTACTCAAGTCTTTGATCCATTTGAAGTTGATATTTTTGCAGGGTAATACATACGGGTCTAATTTCATTCTTCTGCATGTAGACACTCCGTTCTCCCAGCATCCATTGTGGAAGATGCTGTCTTCCCTTCAGTGTGCATTTTGGGCATCTTTGTCAAGTACAAGATGATGTGTAGTTATGTTTGAGTCTTCTAGTTTGGGTCATGGATCTACAGGTCTGTGTTTGTTGCAGTACCATGCTTCTTTTATAACTATGTCTCTTAATGTACTTTAAAATAACATATGGTAATCCCCTCAGCATTGTTCTTTTTTCTCAGGATTGCTTTAACTAGCTGGGGTCTTTTGTGGTGCTATATTAATGTTAGGATTTTTTTCCTATTTCTGTGAATAATGTCATGGGAATTCTGATTAGGGTTGTACTGTGTCTGTAATGTGAAAATGGTTGCTTTTCACAACATTAATTCTATCAATCCATGAGTATAAGCAGTCTTTCCACTTTCTAGTATTTTCTTCCATTTCTTTCTTTAGAGATGTAATTTTTTCACTATAGAGGTCTTTCACCACTTTGAAAGTTTAATTCTAGACATCTTTGAGGCTTCTGTGAATAGGAATACTTTCATAGTCTCTTTTTCAGCTTGTTTGCTGTTAGTATGTAGGAAGCCTACTGGTGTTTGCAAGTCAACTTTAGAAATCTCAGTGTGTTCCAAAAAGGCAGCTCATGTACTAGGGACAGGTCCCGATCCCATTGCCTGGGGGCCCCCTAAACAGTTCAAGCTAAACAACTGTCTCACTTATCCAGAGGGCCTAGTCCAGTACCATGGGGGCTTCTCAGTTATTGGTTCACAGTTCATGTGTTTCCACTACTTTGGCTAGTTGTCTCTGTACTTTTTCCAGTCATGGTTTGGAACCTAGTGCCTATGGCGAGACACTTCCTGCAGCCTTGGTGCAGGAAGGAGGGGCTTGGACCTGCCTCAACTGAATGTACCAGGTTCTGCTGATTCCCCATAGGAGACCTGGCCTTGGAGGAGATGGGAATGAGGGGTGGGTTGGAGGAGAGGCTGGAGGGTGGGAGGAGAGAGGACATGGGAATCTGTGGTTGGTATGTAAAATGAATAGAAAATCTCTTTTAAAAATTATTTTAAAAAAACAATGACAAAAAAAAGAAATCTCAGTGTGATCCTCCTTTTAACGTGGAAAATCTTTCTGTAACCCTCTAAACCCATATCCCCTGCACCCACAGCCCTTCTATCAGAACACAAGTGGATCCCAATGGTCAGTAACTTGCTGAAAATGTTTTTGTGCACAAATAGTATCTCATAGGAGGATGTTGGAGTTATCGCAACCTTGCTGAAAGGCTCATTTGGGGATAAGGACCTTATTTAATCTCATCTTGACATATTCTGCAGCTCCTGTTTACATCAAAAGCGATTTGCAAATTCTATACAAAATGCCAAGTAGATGTAGGTTTGCTGGAAGGCATTAAAGCTCACTAATCTACCTATTATGCAATGGTATAAACAGAGAAATTTTAAACTTTTTATTTTTTTAAATAACGTGCATATGGAATGATTTAGAACCTCCTGTAGAAAGCCTGGGGATGGTTGCCTAACATCTAAGGATGAAGGTACCGAAATGCATGGTGTCTACAGTATGCCTCCCATTTATCATTCACCCACCTTCGCTGACCATCATTTGTGCCCTGGGGATTCACAAATAGTCTTGCTCACCTAACTCAAAAGAGTATTATCAAGTTTGAGTGACTTACAAGGAACAGAGTCAGAGGCTAACGTGTCATTTCCAACTGACATCACACTATTCCCAAGAGCATCATTGTTACTTCCCTACCACACACACACACACACACACACACACACATACACACACACACACACACACACCATGTCCTGTAATACCAAAGGAGACTACTACTCCACAGCCAGGATATGTGTCTCTGAGATGCTATTGTTTCTCAGTCTATGAGAAGCTAGTTTCTCAAAATAAACCAATGCATCTTCTTCATAAAGCAACCAGGAATTGAGCAGCTCCCAGATTCTATTGCCTCAGTGATGTAAAGTCATCCTGCAAGTTGATGCCAAAGCAATTTGCAAAGGTCAGTTAGTCATGCATCTGTAACAAATGCAATACAGTAGGATTACAGGACTCTTTATCCAGTGCTCCATTCATTCAGGACTCTCTTTCTACTTTTAAATGTATCAATACAGCCTCAAAGACACCTTTCAAAGTGACCTGTTTTGACCTTGTCAAATGCTAAGCCCACTAGTGGTCACTGGGGGGGAAAAATACCATTATTCTGGGCACTTCTTTTGACTTATTCACTTGAAACTTCTAAGCGCTCAGAAACAAGCTAAGAAGGGTAGAAGTTAAATCAATCTGCAAAAGGAACCAATCGTACAAAGTTAGCCAATTAGCCCAAATCAGCAATCAGAGCAAGATGAAACCTAATTAAATTCAACAGTCTACAAAAGGATGTGTTCAAACAATTTCCTTCATTATGAATTCTCTAATATAGACACTTTCAATGTGACACAGGAGACCACAGAGGGGCACTTCTTTTCTGGGATCTTCAAAGTTATCCAAAGCTTTTTAAATGCCTATTTTTAAAGATGCCGAGGGAAGTGAGTGGCAGCCCAAGTTTCAAGAGATGGGAGTGCTTTTCTGGAACCCACTGCAGAGTATAAATCTGTGTAAAGACACCGCACAAAATCAGCTTGACATGTTTTGTTCTTTTTGTTTTGGTGTGGTGTATGTGTGCGTTTTTCTAAGTCGGATTGTTCGAGGCCAAACTCCAGAGAGTCTCCGGCTCCACAATGTCACCTTCTGCAGAGAGCACTATGCCGAATGGGAGGCAGCTGCTTTGTGCCCGGTACCTCAATTTTCTGGCAAAGAACCTTCGGTAAGAGTAAACCCAGGAGGTTTTTAAAAATAACTGTCCCCACAGTTAAAATAACGAGAGCTTTTATAGACTTGAAAAAAGAACCGCCCATGTCACCACTAGATGAAGCCAACTTTTTATTAAGTGGGCTAATGGAGAAATCGAGTTATGGATAATTTTAAAAGAGATTTACTGCCAAAAGCACTTTATTCGGCTTTGAAATGTGTGCTACTCGGGCTTAAATATGGATGTCTGATATTGCAGGACTTCATAACAGCAGAGTAATGGCTCCGAGGGAGCTAGCCTGGTGGCTCACCACCCTCTGCCCCCTCACTAGCCCTCCGCCTGTCTCCTGAGTAATTGAGAGGACCAAACCTCTTCATAAGCTTACCTTCTTTCTTTCTACAACTTTTTGCAATCCAAAGAATTAGGGGTGTCCACTTACTTTTGTTCTAATGAAACTCAATGTTAGCCAAGAATAGATTTAATTAATTTGAGTATTAATGTAGTGATTTTTGAAAGCGATGTTTTCTGGGTATGCAGCAGGCATTGCAGTCAGTAACATCAGTGAACAGGAACAATACTCCTGTTGGGTCTCCGACATATTAGGAAAGTACAAACCTTTGGTTTAACTGGATGATTGACACGTGGCAGGAAGTACATGAAGTACCTACATTAAAAGGAGAAGGCGGAAGTGGAGGCTGTAGTTGGTAAAGTGCTTGCCTAGTGCACACCAAGCCCCGAGTTTAAACCCCAGCACCCCAGCAGGCAGGGAAGTACATGTCTGTAACCGCAGCACTCAGAGCATAGGAGCAGGAGAATCATCGGCTACAGAGGAGGTCCCCCAAAAGCCTAACCATCTCGGAAGATAAGAGACCTTGTCTCAAAACAAACAAAAATGGAAAATGAAAACGAGGAGGCAGCAAGCGCCCAAAATATGTATCATTTAAAATGGGATAATAGAATATAATAGCATATAAATTGTGAGGATTTGGGAAATTAAACAATGCCATCCGAAGAATATCAATAATCATTTTTTTTAAAGTTCTCGAATACAGTAATTTCACTGTCATATTTTAAGGGTGAAACTGCTTGGAGAAATGTTTAAAACTGAGAGACGTGCCCATTAGACTGTGGTTCCTTTAATGGCTGGTATAGATTGTCTCTGTCTTAAACTCAACTCTCGGTAGTCACTATCTGGCCTGCATATTAATGAAGAACATGAATACCTCTCTAAAATTTTCAGCCACAGCATCTCCATTAAAAAAAAAAAAATCAATACTCTCCCACACCTCATGAATACAGACCAGGGCCTGCTTCCAGCAGCGTATGTTGGCATTAATTATGATTAAGAGGGGGGAACTTCCCATCTCTGGCTAACTCCCCCGTTACACCTCTTTGCGCACCCAAACTCACAGCGTCACTCTTTCCCATTATCTTTAATGGATCCTGATCCAAAGCGTGTGTGGGCTGTGCAATTACCGCTCGGCTGGGCTGTACAATATTCCCTCTGATGTCTTATAGACGCTGAACCAGAAAGGCATTCCAAGGACACTGAGGGGTCCTGTGCTTCACTGCACCGGACCTAATACTGCTTAACAAGACTCAATTCAGTCCTCTTTGCCTCTCTTTCCTGGGGCATTTTTATGAAGATTCTGTCTGTAGAATATTCATCAGTGATGCAATGTTGAATCAGAGAACCTTTTGTCCATCACCTTGTATAAACTGTCCAAAGAAATCCCCTGCCCTCTTTTCTCCCCTAGCTCACAGGCATACAAGCCTGCAGGTTTGAGTATTGCTCATGCATTCAGTCTAGCTTGGTTCTCCTTAACCAAGGAATTGGTTCACTTTTGCTGCAGAACGTAATCATACAGCTCTGCTCTTTTCACTTTCTAGGAATAATGTAAATGGTAAGAGGGAAAGTTTGGACCCGGGTAGAGTCCATCAAGTGGTATGTCACCCTGCTTCCACATTAGTAAACAAACACAGGACTTGGGCATAAGAATCTTACCCAAGGGGAGGTTGTTGTCTATAAAAAAAATAGTTTATCCATAACCACACACATAAAATAAAAGCAAAGCCAGCCTGCCCTTCTCTTCTGGTAGGAATGAAAATGGAGGAATCAAGTTTCACGGTTGTTGCTGTTAAATCAACGTGTTTTCAATTCTGTTATAATGCACTCACTGTATTGTGATTTTTCTGAACCGTTTTGGAGTAGGAAACAGGAAAGCTAAGAATTCATCCAGGTTTTCAGTACTAAAGAAGCTGACACACTAAACATTTCAGACCCTTTAAGAGATGGAGACGGTGAGGTTGAGGGTGTTCCAAAGCGTTGCCTCTGGTTCAAAGGCCATTCATTCCAAGCAAAGCCACACCATGAAAAAAAAAAAAACTCCTGACTTTGTGGCAGCCTGTGGCATTTCTTCCCCACATCCTATGACATTCCTTCCGAATCTCTGACCTTCTTCCAAGACTTCCTTTCCGTGTTCCCAGCATCATTTTTATCTCTGTGAATAAACCCAAAACATTCAAAAGCTTGGCAGGAACTTAAATAAGAATGTTCTCCAATCATTTTCCAGTTTGAAAAATACAAAATTCAAATATACAAAAGCCCAAGACGTGAGCTGGGGAGACGGCTCAGCCAGTAAAGAGCTTTGCATGCGGGTGGGAGGACTTAAGTTCAGTCAGTCCCCAGCACCTACTCAAAAGCCTGGCATAGTAGAGTGTGCTTGTAATCTGAACACTGGCAGGTGGAGAGAGGCAGCTCCTTGGGGCTCACTGGCCAATCAATCACCTCAGCCTAATCAGTGAACCTCCGGTCTCAGTGAGGGATCCTATTCCAAAAAACAATGTGGAAGGCTCCTGAGGAACAATACCCAAAGTTGACCTTGGCAGGCAGGCAGGCATGCACGTAGGCGCGCACACACACACACACACACACACACACACACACACACACACACACACACACACTTCATGAAGTATCTAAAAATACAGGATAAAAGACAGGAGCATGATCTCTCCATCTATGCTGATTGCCACAGCTGGAGCACTTTCCTAATATCACTGGTTGTATCTCACCTCACTCCTGAACTTCTAAGGGACTCTGGGAGTATCACAGTATAAATAAGCTTCCCTATCTTCTCCTGGAGCAATTTATATAGTAGCATAGAGCTAGAGCCAAGGATTAATGGCTTACATTCTCTTTCCTGACTAACCATGGAAAGAAAAATAACTCATTCCATTTCATCAATGTGGAAAAATCAGAGGCCATGGCTGATTTGACAACACCAAAATGAACTTTGTGATGTCTAAAATGTGTTTTCAAATGGCTATGGAAGATTATTTGTGAAAATACACAAAGACTACGTGAATGTCTTTGCAAATCTTTCTCTCGTGTAGAAAGAATTGTTGCTGTCATATCTCTAAATATCCAAACCACAGCTTAAAATACTTTCTGGCCTATTCAAGCATGAGGAAGCCACGGCTTCACTGACTTGGTCCAGCTCCATCTCCACCCTTCCGCCACTTCCTCTGTGTTCCTCCTCTGGTCAACTTCACTGCCTCGCCATAGCACAAGCAGACAAAAGGGTTTACCCTCCCTCCTATTCTGAACACGTTGCTGAATCCCACTCAGGCAGAAAAAGTGGGTCAAATTGATTGGTGTTGCCTGAATAAATCCTCGTGTTTATCAAGCAAGCAAGAGGCCCCCAGGAAAGAAGCAGACGGGCTGATAGGTGAGGACAAGTACCATGCAAACAAAGCCAGGACTAACAGAAAAAAAAAAAAAAAAAAGGAAGGGAGGGAGGGAGAGAGGGAAGGACTAAAAATAAGAAAGATAATTTAAAAGAAATAAAAATTATATCGAAAAGCTATGGTCTTGGAGATGGATCCAGTAAGGACATAATGAGTAGTACGCGTTTAAAGGACACACCAACTCAAAAGAAGGGTGTGCCTTCCCTGCTCCCAAGATCTTATTGAAGAACTTAGATCATGGTAGATTCAGAATGGCGAGAAAGAAATTCAAGAACATTTTCCAAGCCTTGAGGTCCAATGAGGCTCTCTGATATCCAGCCAAGCTTCCGTCGGCAACTCAAACCCATTCCCAGAAAATCAGAGCTCATTTATGTTTTGTTTTTTCTATAAGATTAAGGCAAGATTTCAGAAAAAAAAAAAACACCTTGACATCTAAAATTCAATAAGCTCAGGAATCGCTGCTGTTTAATAAAGCAAGCTTCGGGATCTATTCTGGTGTTAGTCAGGAAGTAATGGGACTCCATTTCTGCAGTATAGTTAGTACTCAAGGGAGGCAGCTGAGATTCTGTAAAAACAGAACCTGTGTGCTGGGTCCACCCACATCCATATCCTCACCAGATACCTTATCATGTCAAAGGAGTGGCTTGATCAGACTGAGCCTCCATTTCTTCTTCTATGAAATGAAGAGACTATATCATATATCAATGCCTGACACACACAATGTAAGGATTGTTTAACACTGAACCACAAAATTTGTAAGTTCCCATTCCTTCCCATCTACTAGAGAAACAACTCTTACGTTATACACAGCACCTGAGATAAGAAGAGGCTGCCAAACAGTGGGTCATCTATAATGAAGATTATACTCAAAAAATAACATAATAAGTAATATCTTAGTAACAGTAATTTTTTAAGCATGAAAATTTTCATTATCATAGCTCTCCAGACAATTGTTGATGCCTTTGTTCTGATCCTCTGAGTCTCAAGGTGTTCAAGAAGCTAGCTTGATTTTTTTTTTCATTCCAGATAACATTGTGTGTATGGGGGGGGGCAGGGAGACAGTGGGTATCTGTATTCAGACAGATCACCTAGTTGTGAGGCACTTTTGGCTCCCAACACTACTATTTGAAACTCCTTACATTGGCTGAAAAAACACTCTTTTGTAAGCCTTGACTTTGGCTCAGCTTAGGAGCATTTACAACCCTATCATACATAACATAAACACCAATCTGCCTTTCTTATTTCTTTGAAAATTCAATTATTTCTAATTACATAAAGGCATCATTGATCAAGTAAGCATAAAAACCCATAGAGGAGAATTTAATCTCCTAAATAAGATTGTAGACTTTAAGGAATAATTAAATGTTATCGTATTTAGTACACAGAGACATCTTGGTTGTTGATAGCTGCACCAATCTTAAGGGAAGTATCTTAGTCCCTTATAGTTATCATTACTATAAATTGATATGATGCAAATTAGAAATTTTTGGATTTTCATCTCTCTCCTCCACTCTCTCTCCAGGCCTGGAAATGGGCTTTGGGTCCTGTGGTCTTGTACGCATGTGAAAGAATAATTAGGTCCTGGAGATTTCAACAAGAAGTTGTCATTACCAAGGTATGCTTGTAGCTTTATGTCTGAATAAAAGCCTGAGTGTAGATGAAAATTTTTTATTAGCCCAAGTTTTTAATTTGCCATTTTTATTGCAGAACGGCTTGTAATTTAGAGGCTCATCTTCTGTTCTAATAATTGCTTGTATCGGAGCATCTTTCAGTGCAACCAATTTTACTGGAGACAGGGATCAAGGCTCCATGCTGGCACATGCAATTCTGATCAAAGCTTATGGCATGGCACTGGAGTTAGCTATATTTCTCTTTATTATGGTTTCTCTCTAGTGAGGAAAAGACAAGGAAACAACTAAGAATGCTTTACACTGACCATAGTAACTTCAGATACCATATCAAGGTGAAAATTTGCAAGCATACCAGTATCACTCACACTCACACAGCTTCAAGCATTCACAGTCCTACCTGGAAGTACTGAGCTTGAGATGAAGCCACAGGTTCAGGATATGAAGGGTGCTGGAAATTTAAGATGGAGAGGGTGGACATACACAGTGTTCTACCCTGTTTAGTGGTGTGCACCATGGTAGGACTTTCCTGTCTTGCGATTCATCCTTATGACTCTTTAATTTTTGCTTCATGCTAAAGGAATATAGGAACAGACAGGCAGAAAAACCATTACCCCCAGGTTGACAGAAGTTCAAAGTACTCAACTGTCCTAGTTGGGGTTGCTATTGCTATGACAAAACACCGTGACCAAAAAGCTGATGCAGAGGCCATGGAGGAGTGCTGTTACTAGCTTGTCCTCCATGGCTTTCTCAGCCTGCTTTCTTATAGAACCCAGGACCACCTGACCACGGATGGCATCACCGTGGGCTGGGCCCTCTCCCATTCATCACTAGTTGAGAAAATGCCTTACAGCTGGATATCATAGAGGCATTTCCTCAACGGAGGCTCCTTCCTCTCTGATAACTCTAGCTTGTGTCCAGTTGACACACAAAACCAGCCAGTACATCTACCCACTCCCAAGTGTTAGCTAGTACAATTTTAACAGAACACTACAACCCTTCACTGTCTCATTGAAAGAAGATGAACAAGGGAATGCTCTCGTGTGTTTCTATCTTGCTGAGTTCAGCTTATTACCACGGGATGTCAACCCAGACTGGAACATGTACGGGAAACTACACCTGTCACTGGGAAGACCATTTTGCAGCTCCATCCGAGGCAATGTCAGAAGGGAGAGCAGAAGCCCAGAACTAAAGAATAAAATGCTGTGAGGGGCTCCTCACATGAAAAAGTGTCATCCCAGTATTCACATACTGGATTGTGTTCTTGTATGTGTTTACTATAAAAGACGTGGAGGTATGTAGAGAGTTTTCATGAAACAATGGATATCTACTGAGGGCAACTGCTTCTGTCCTCAGACGGGCCATTAGCATAAAATCCTTGTAGAAGCTTCACAGGGCTTCCTTTTACCCAAAACTTAGAACCCAGACAGTACTTAGTAAAAACGCAACAAATAAAACATTTTGGGGAGAAGTGGAAGGCTGGTATTTTTTCCTTCGCCGTGAAGAAAATTCCAGGGTTAATTCTCAAGAGATTGAGAAAACATGCAGGTAACTGCCAAACATAACAAATTACTGCTAGGGGGTTTTGTTCTGTTTTGTTTTGCTTTTTAAAGTAAAGATGGTGTGGCAATTATTTTAGTAAGCTCGAGTAAAATTTTGGGCTATGCATTCATGCCCGCTTATACTCAATTAGAAATGGTTATCTGGGCTCAGGGAAGTTTGGTCACGTGGGGCGTGGGGTCACGTGGGGCATGGAATCATGTGGGGCTTGGAGTCACGTGCCTGCCATGTTGCCTGCCACCACCCACCCACCCCCACCCCACCCCCCGTGCAGTTATTAAAAGTCAAGCACAGCGCCCTACACAATGAACTCTATTATCGCTCAAGTTGCAAGTCCAGGCATGAAAGCGGGGACAAATACCAATGGTCTAAGGAAATTATACCTTAAAAAAAAAAAAAAGGCAGTTAACGATTTTGCAAGCCTTTGGTGGAATGAAGACTGTGCTCTCCTCATTTTACCTGAGAGAGAATCCCTGCAGCTATCTTGCTCTGTTGTAGGTGGTGAGCCACCCGTCTGCAGTCCTGGAACTTCACATGAAGAAGCGCGATTTCAAGATGGCGCCCGGACAGTACATCTTCATCCAGTGCCCATCCATCTCCCCTCTGGAATGGCACCCCTTCACGCTCACCTCCGCTCCCCAGGAGGACTTCTTCAGTGTGCACATCCGTGCATCCGGAGACTGGACAGAGGCATTATTGAAAGCCTTTGGGGCAGAGGGACAGGCCCCCAGGGAGCTCTGTAATATGCCAAGGTGAGATCCCGCCCCCAAGTCACTGTTTCATTCAAGTCGCAATACTTCAAACAGGAAGATATCTAAATGCATCAATACATTGTCAATTTCGGAGATTGCTTTATACCAGGCTTTAAGCTTGGGTTCGTTTAAAAAAAAAAAAAGGAGCCGGGCGGTAGTAGCGCACGCCTTTAATCCCAGCACTCGGGAGGCAGAGGCAGGCGGTTCTCTGTGAGTTCGAGGCCAGCCTGGTCTACAAAGTGAGTTCCAGGAAAGGCGCAAAACTACACAGAGAAACCCTGTCTTGAAAACCAAAAAAAAAAAAAAGGAAAGTCTTCATAAAATGTATAATTTAAGAGAAGCAAGTACATTTCTGTAAAAATAAATAAATGTTCAACAAAAGTAGGCGATGATCCAGGAAGAACAGTTTCCTTTCCAGATCTAAAAGCAGCTCTTGTCTAATTATGTACAGCCTGCCATGAGTCATGAGCTCTCTCATATCACAGACTGGGGTTTCAGACTGTATTTGCAAAGGCTGGTCTCCTGAAGAAGGATGCTCTATTCTGGTCATTGCTGGACTTGACCTGTACTGTTCCTACATGACCACATGGTAATATATAGGAGACATATAGAGAGACTACTCATTTCTGCAACCCTATTTTCAAATACATAGTATAAGGCACTGAAGTCAGGGCTTCTTCTCATATTAATCATGTTTCTGCCCACACCGCTACTCTATTCAGAGCAGCCCAGGCATTTGACCCAAGACCCTGTATGCATGGTCATGACTTGGCTCCTTTAAGTGAACAAGAAGGTCAATTCCCACTCCTATAAAATCATCCAATAGTACATGAAGTCCATGGAATAGGGCCAAAAAAAATGAGACAACAGAAAAAGATGAGAAAAACAATTTTCAAACTGAATATTTTAATGAATCATTAAAAAACAAAGTCTACTTGTGCTATTCTCAGGGGACAGAAGCCACCACATGTTGACTTTACTTATAAAACACCATGGTGCATAGTTACATGGAAGTTCCTGCGGGTGAGATGTTGTCATCCCTTCTGCTGCATCTCCAGGGTTAAGAACAATGTCAGACACATAAAGATAACATAACAGAAAACAGTAATACCTTCAGCCTAATGTATATTCTTTAGCTCACTTATGACAAGTATTTATTGATGACTAAGTAAGCACCATTACGAGTATAAGTCATGAAATGAAGTGAGCCTTTTGCCCCCTTTCCCGCTCTCCAGGGAAGGTAGAACCGTAAGGATGCCACACTGGTTTTTTCTAGTGGGTGGAATGGATGCATGCCTTCCTGTCAAAGATGAGTAATAAAGAATAAGCAATGAAACAGGATTCTAAGATTTAAAATGAAGTGAAAATGCCTAAAATTAGGGACAAGTGTAGAAGGAAGTAACTCCCCCCCCACACACACAAACAATACAACACAATTACTGTGTCTGCTTGCTTACCTCGTCCCTGCCCTTCCCTTCCTTTGTTAAGTTTTATACCTTCAACTTCTTTGTTATCCTTGCTTCAGCTCTGTGTGTATCCAGTTACTTAGTCTGCCAAACATTATTCCCTTTGCCACCCAACTAGCTTTCAATCAACCCACAGAAAACACTGCATGCTGCTTCTTGTCTATGAAGTGTCCCTGGGAGGTCTGACATGATTTGATCTCTGGGGCCTCTCTGGGTACATCTGCTCCACCCTTGTCCTTTATGGATATAACCCTCCTAGCCTTCTTAATTTTTGGTAGCTGACAGACAAAATTACATGTGCTGGTTGTTGAAGTACACGTTACATTGCATTTTTATATGCACATTATGTTTATGTATGCATACTATGTTTATATATGTACTTTATGTTAAGTCTAGTGAGCAGTTGTTTGCACAGTTAGCCCTTCCACAATGAGAACACTTAGCGTGCACTCCCTTTGCATTTTTCAAGATTATAATAGATCCTCACTGATTACAGTAACCTTGCTATGCCATGTGATCTCTCCAGTGTCCTTCCTATATGGTTGTGTTTAGATCTCCTTTCATGGACATCTCCCTCTCCCCTTTCCCCATTTCCAACCCTCCCCAGCTAACTATCATCCTACTGTCCAATTCTATGAGAACTACACTTTTATATTACACTTAAGAGTGAGATCACAGTTATCTTACTATTTGATGTAGGATTAGGTTCCATAACGGCCTTGGCACAATGTGTGAGTTCCCAGAAAGACTTAACCACAATTGGCTGCAAAGTCAGAAAGGCCAAATACCCTAGATGATACCAGTGGTTATGTTAGTTACCAATGGCCCTCAGCTCAGAAAACTGAGGAAGGAGGCAAGACTCGGCTGCTGTGAGAGGAATAACTTCCTGCTTTACATTAAAACACCAAGTCCAGATCAAAGGGATGACAGGTGAATAAACACAGACGCCAGAATTTATCCAGGGCTCAGGAGATGGCTCTGCAGATAAAGTGCTCACTGCAGAAGTGTGACCACCCAAGTTCCCATCCCAAGGACCCACATAAATCTTGGGTTGGCATGGCAGCCTGTTTGTAATCCCAGTGCTCCTGGGGTCAAGACGGGTGATCCTGGAGTCAGCTTGCTAGCCAGACTAGCCAAATCAGTGAGCTGTTGGTTCAAATAAAAGATCCTACATTGGTATATGAGAGGGAGAGTGATCAAGGAAGACACTTGGCATCAAGTGCTGTCTTCTACAAGCATGCACAAACACATATGTGTGCAGACACAGGCACACATACCAAGGCACATGCAGACACATGATTCCAGGAACACGCATAGTCACAGCACACACAAAGAAAGAAAGGAAAGAAGGAAGAAAAGAAGAAAGGAAGAAAGAAAGAGAGGAAAAAAGAAAGAGAGAAAGAAAAAGTGTCCAAATGATACCTATTCTAATTGTAAGGGATAGAGAAATGTAGCCCACTCACCCCCCCAAAAAAAAACAAATATTAAGTCATCAAGACTTGATATATAGGAAAGAAGAAAGGCAGGAAATATACTCTAAATGAGGCAAAAGGTGAGAGCCTTACAGATTTCAGTAAGACATGAAAATGAATTATTTCAAACTTAGACCTGCCCCCAGTATATCAACCTTGCAGGTTGATGTCAGAGTATGGTCATTTCTCAGACAAGGCAAGTAAGGGCTCCCAATTCTAAAGAATTAGAAAGATAGATAGATAGATAGATAGATAGATAGATAGATAGATAGATAGATAGATAGATATGTGTGTGTATGTGTGTGTATTTCTATATATATGTATATATACATGTATGTATATATGTATTTCTGTGGGCTTTGGGACACAGGTGTCCTCTGAATTTAATTGATATCTTTTTTTTAATTAGTGTCAAATAAATCACTGATCACTAATTATAAAAATAATCAACAACATGACATCTTAATCTATGGGTAAGGTCTCTATCTATCATCTATCTATCTATCTACCTCTCATCTATATATCTATCATCTACCTATCATCTATCTATATCTCTATCATCTATCATCTATTATCTATCTATCATCTATCTTTCTACCTATCATCTATCTATCTATCTATCTATCTACCTGTCATCTAGCTAATTATTTATAAAATAACTTACAGTGGGCTAAAATATTAGTGCTTTCTGGTTAATGGTCTTTTATTTTTATTCTTCTATTTCCATATATCAATATGTAATTAAGCCTTAGTAATTAAGATTAACTCAAGGAAAGTTCGTTTGAATTATTAGGAAGTCTGGGATACAGAATATTTTTAAATAAATCCATTTGAACTTTCATGAACACAGATTTAATGCCCAAATGGGTTAACCCCCATCCCCACCGTGTAGGTGACAGGCTCTCCTCAGGGAATGGTTATGAATGACTTAGAAACCTTTTAATTAGCATATCTTTGTTCATATGTAAATGTGTACTTTTGGAATAGTTGGAGTAATTTAATACATTCTGCGTACTGAAATGCTCTAAATATTCCCTTTACAATTGATTCAACAAATTGTTATTGAACAGCTCCAGGCTGGGTAGTCAGCAAGGCATCAGGTAAGCAATGAGTAAAGACAGACCTGCTTCCCACATCCACAGACCTGGAAGCTTAGGGGTCAAGATGGACATAACGAAATCATGAGCACACACACACACAGTATAAATGGTAATATTAAAACAACAGTGAGGAAGGAGGGATGAGGGAATTTCACCTAGTCAAAGGGGTCCAGGAGGACTTCCCCAGAGAGACAGTGTTTAGACAGGCCCTAGAGAAGGGTATCATTTAAGCAAGTGAAGAGAGAGAATAAAAGCAGCTGAGAAGTCCATGTGATGTGCTATACGGCAGAAGACAATACTACTATGCATTTAGGAAATAGAATAAATGCCAACATGGAGACATGGGGAAGAATCCAGTGGCCTATCCATGTAAAAATGCCTTATTTATTCAAAGAATACGTTTTATCATTATAAAGAAAAATGCTAAGCAAAGGCAAGACATTTTTACTGGCCCTGGGGTGATGATCATAAAGGAACTCTAAGATTGTATTTTAGCAAATATAAATAGTGAGTTTTACAAGTTGCACATAACTGACAAATCATTTCAAAATTATATTTATTCCAAGCAAATCACCTCTATGTGACTAAAATGGTATAAATGTATGAAAACATGGCCAAACAAATGAAAACAGGGGATTTCACCCTGAAAAGGAAAAGCAAATCTTCTAAGCCACTGTGGAGTGTCTCCTTCGCTTTCAGCTGGCAGCTGAGGGAAGAAAGTCAGGGAGGCAGCTAACAAAGGTGTCAGAACTCTAAAAAGAGCAAGCCATGTTGACGAGGTGAGCCACAGCAGGGAAAGGCACACTTTGCCTTCCATAAATTGTACCTAGCCAGGATCCCCAGGTAGTGTTCTTCCAGTGGAGGGGGCCCCCAAGTTATAAAGCTTATTCCAAGCTCTCCAAATAGAGCAGTGTGTATGTCTGTGTGTGTGTGTGTGTGTGTGTGTGTGTGTGTGTGTGTGTGTGTGTGTGTACTCACGTGTGAGTGTGCATGTGAAGGCTAGGTGTCAATGTCAGGTTGCTTTTCTGATTTTTGTTTCTCCACCCCATTTTTTTTTTTTTTAGATAGTCTTTGATTTGCCTGAAAGCTGCCATTAGGATAGACTAACTGGCCAGGGAGCTCCAAGGACCTGCTTGTCTCTGCTTCCCCAACACTGGGACTACAAACTTGCTACCACACTCGGCTTTTTATATAAGTCCCGGGAACTGAATAAACTGAGGTCCTCATGCTCATGCAGCAAGCACTGATCCAACCAATTTATCCATCTCCTCTCCCTAAATAGAGAATCCTGATACACCCCACCAACCTTTCAGCCTGCATTTGCTGACCCATCCTATAAAAGCCACCAACTTGGGATGGCTTTGCGTTCAAGAGCAAAACATTCTAAAGGTCAAACAAACTGCATTCTGTGGTTCCAGGCTGGCGGTGGACGGGCCCTTCGGAGGCTCCCTGACAGATGTGTTTCACTACCCTGTGAGTGTATGCATTGCAACAGGAATTGGAGTCACGCCCTTCGCCTCTCTTCTGAAGTCCATGTGGTATAAGTGTTGTGAGTCACAGAGCCTGCCTGAGCTGAGCAAGGTATGGAAAAATCATTAGTTCACCCTTCCATGGAGTGAAAGGTTCAACGCCCTTCTATCTATCATCTGCCGATTCCTGGGGAGGATTTTAATTAACTATGAGGGATAAACTTAAGGATCCTTAACTATACTTATGTTCTTAAAAATCTCCATTCAGGATTACATTTATGAGCGGGGTTATGTCTAATCTTGTTAAAGATGACAAGACATAAATTTTATTGCTTCATTGCCATTACAGGACATGTAATTGCTCATCTCAATAAAATGTGGACAGGCTGCAAATGGCTATGTGACTGGGTTGCAGTTAGTCATATTAACAGGCAGGCTTCCCCCTCATCTCTTTAGATCCATTCTGTGGTTGCAAATGTCCAATTCCATCTTCCTTAGATGGCCTGTGTTAGTAGGACTTGTCAGTCCTTCCACAATGGTCTTGCTACCCAGCACCCTTTGTGATTTCTTAGACAACGATTCTCCCTCCTTTTGTCCTATCTAGTATGAGACACCATCTTTGGCCCTGTCAAGGTAAAAGGAGCCTTCTTGGACATCCCCTGATGGTTTGATAATCGAGTTTACAAGGCAAACAACAGCATACAGATGAACAGGAGAAAAGATACACAAATTTGTTGATGTGTAAGAAGATGGGAGTCACACAAAAGTACAAAAACTCAGAGAGGCCAGACGGTTGAAGCTTCTTTGTCATGGGCCTTTTTGTCGTGGGCTACAGGCAATTTTATAGTAAATTATTTTTAGGGGAGATGAAGGAGCCTGAACAATAAATACTTGGAACAAAACTCACCCGTGCTCTGCCTATGGTGTCAACTTGGTGTTCTCCATGAGGCTGCATTCTAGAGAATCTAGCCTCTAGGTCCACAGGGGAGTTACAGAGACAGACCCTTCCCTCCCCTCAGGAGGGAAAAAGTGTGACAGCTGATGAAGGTCAGGGAGACCTTGGTTCTCCTCAGCTCATAGAACTCATCATGCTCATGTGTCTAACTCTAGACTTTTATTCTCTGAGCCCAAACCCTCTCGGGACCAGCATCAGGTACTACACCAGCCGTGCAAAGATGGCCGTGTGCCTTGGCTGGGGTTTCTATCACTGTGATAAAACACTGCAACTGACAACAACTTGGGGTAAAAGGTTTCTTTCATCTTACAGTTCCACATCATAGTCCATCATGTAAGGAAGTCAGGGCAGGGACGCAAGGGAACCTAGAGTCAGGAACCGAAGCAGAAGTCATGCAGCTCTGCTTCCTGGCTTGCTCTGCCTGCTCTTTTATACACCCGGGACCACCTGTGCTGGGCTCTCCCATGTCTATCACTAATTAAGACAATATACAACAAACTGGCCCACGGGCCAATCTAGTGGGAACACTTTCTCAATTGAGATGTCTTCCTGCAGATTAACTCTAGCTTGCATCGTGTTGACATAAAACAAGCCAGGACACTGTGTGACCATGGAGCATTGAAATGCATGAGGGAGCAGGACACTTGGCAAGTTTAGACCTGATCCCGTCCTGCCCATGTCTGCTCTGGGCCGCCTTTGGTTATGGTTTCCCACTGGACCGAAGGAAGAAACCAAAGTCATTAAGTGGATCCCAGTGTCGAGTCATTATCTTTTCTTATTGCCCTGATCAAATACCTGACAAGAAACAAGGGCCAGGGGACTTGGTTTGGATCATGATTTGAGGATTTAGCCCATCATGGTAAGGAAGTTATAGTAGTGGTGGATGGCTCTGTGGCAATAGGAGCATGCAAGAGGCATTTGCTCATAACTTAACAGGCCAAGAAGCAGAGGCTGTACAGGAAGCAGGACACAGCAATAAACCTTAAGCTCCTCCCCCAATCCAATTCTTGTAGGTAGGTACAACCTTCCAAAGATCCCACAACCTCTTAAAACAGCTAAGGACCAAGTGTTCAAGCACGTGAGCCCGTGGTGAGCATTTTACACTCACACTGAAGCACAGTGTGTGTTCTGTGGAACATTAGTTGTATGCAGCATCTGTTGAAAAGAATTTTGTGGCCCCATAAAACCTAAGAGATGCTCCTTCAACATTCCATTCTAGAAGATTCACAGTATCTGCTACCCTCTCAGACAGGGTCTGCAGAAAAGAATCTCAGGAAGTCTTGTTCCATCCATTTAGCCACAGAACCTTCCTTCATCTGCTACCTACTCAGGAATTGTGTTCTGTGATACTCTGGGGGAAATGTGACTGAAAAGCTCGAAAACTGATGTCTTCCCCACTAAGAAAGAAGAGTAAAATTGGCTGCTTCGTGAGGTCCAAAGTGACAGGGGCTGGACGTATGTTTTTCATTGGATCTTATGGCTGGCTGATCATACAGCTGGGGGTCAAATGTTTGACTGCATGATCCTGTGAGTAACATTTCAAGTAACATTCAAGACTGCAGCACAGTAGAACAATTTAAGTTCCTTTTCCGGGATACAGAAATTGATGTTTAGATGTAAAGTGACCTTACTAAACAATGCACAGACAATCAAAGGAAGAATCCAGATCCAGGTCCATCCAGTTCTTTCTATGACACAGTCAACTCATAGTAGACATGTCCCTGCACCCCACATGCACACTACTACAGGATCTCTATCTGCCTGCCTGCCTGCCTGTCTGTCTCTCTACACACACATACACACACACACACACACACACACACACACACTCATGTAAGTGCACCTGTAGATTCAAATTTCAAGCACAGAAGTACAACATGTGTATCAGGGTCAGAACAAAGATCCAAATACCAGTCCTCAGGCATCTCTACCTTCTGTTGGAGACAGGATTGCTCCTTAGCAGGCTATTTGGCCTGTGAGCTTCTAGGGATCTGTTTGTCTTACTGGGATCACAAGTGCACACTGTCATGACTGGGTTTTTATGCAGATTCTGGGGATCTGGTCTCAGGTCCTCACGCCTGCAAGGCAAGCACTTGACTAACGAGGCCATCTCCTCATCTCCACTGTTTCTGATCAGAGAATCTCTGTACCCGAATCCTGCTCTCCCAGGAACTAAAGAAACACTACCTGCAATGCTTCTGTTCATCGCTTTGGGCTGGGATTCCTGTTCCCTCCAGTGAAGAAACAAGAATCCTTATCAAACAGGGAGTGTTTTTTAAAGGCAAATAATGTGCAGTACAGAACTACTGTGCACATGTACATAAAACAATATGAATATGAATCACATCCACAAACATATAAACAGATTGCTAGTGCTACCAGAACCAACCTAGATTCATTAAGCATTTTCTACCCAGCCAGTATAAAGCTGGGCATTTTACATATTTGATATCACACAATCTCTTGTAAGTAATTGTTATTTATTTCCATTTTACAGAAGAGAAAACACACACCAATCCCAAAGCTAAAGAGAATGATACAATTGTCTTATTGGAGTGCCTTAATTAAAATAACTAATACCTTCACTGTACCAATGAAGGACACAAAGCACAGAGAAGAAATGAACAGTAGAACTAGAATTCGAATTTAGGTCCTTCTGGTCCCCAAACAACCCAGTTTCTTTTTAAACTGTCATTTATTATTATAGGATATATGGTGGGGGTGGGTGCCACAGCATGCCTGTGGAGGTCAGAGGACAACTGTTGAGAGTTGGTTATCTGTATCCACCACAGATCCCAGGGATAAGAGCCAGATCATCAGGCTCACACCCCAAGCACTCTTACCCACAAACCTGTCTTTCCTTCACAGTCAGTCTAGCAAAGCGAGAAGAACAGCGACTATTCTGTAGGTTCAGATCTCAGAGCGAGGCCTTCTTCATCTTCATCCTGCAGTCTACCAAGTGAAACCCACCTGGAGAGGTGGCTTGTTGCTTCACAATCCCCATGACACCTGAGTCACATGATGCTTCACACAGAGAAGGCAGAGCCTGTGAGTCTCTCCTTCACTTGCTCACTCAAGCTCACTCAAGCAACATATATTCAGCACCTGCTATAAGTCAGACTCTCGTACTGACGGGCGAGTCTCTCAAATCTGCCATAGAGACCCAGCTCACATCTGACTTAAGACAACCTCTCTTCTTTCCATCTCCCCTGCCTCTCTGCTATCCTACTGTATGACCCTGCTCCCTCCCTTATATTGACATTCTTAAGGCATCTTATTGGTCTGAACACACTGTGAGCTCCTTAATCCTGTTCTTTCCTTTTCATTAGTGAATATGTAGAATGTGTGTGCACTGGTGAGCCACTGAGTCAGCACCAGACTGTGTGATTCCAATGTCCACTTTAGCGCTCCCTGTAAGAAGAGGCAGCATTCCCAGGCTATTCAGAGTTTAGACTGAAAATTATGCTTAAGACCTGACTCCTAAGTCACAGGGTTAGGAAGTTTCTGTCCTTTGAAGCAGGTGTGTGTGTGTGTGTGTGTGTGTGTGTGTGTGTGTGTGTGTGTGTGTGCGCGCGCTATCACCAGGCTTATGTAACTAATATTTGTCAGAGCCGCCTACATGCTTTTGAGATATAAATACTACTCCTTCCACTGAACTGTCAGCGTCTATATAATTTTGAAAGTGCAGCGGAGCAAAGTGGTGTGCATTTATCTAACAGCATCTTCACAATTTCAGGTCTAGGCTACAGCTTTCAGATTGTTCTCTTTCATAACTAGAGGAGAGGAACGGGAGCAGAGAAATGCAGAGCTGAAGTTTTCAGTGTAAATTGTTAACTGCAATTAGGTAGGATTTTTTTTCTCTTCTAGATGCAAAATACCCCCTGGCATTAAGGTACACATTTCTATGTTCAAGCCGCAAGTTGTAAATCCACAGCAAAAAGAAATTGCTGCAATTTTCCTCCATTGTTACCTTTGCACACAATCTCTCCTCCTCCTGCTGCTCCTTCTCTTCCTCCTCATCTTCCTGTTCCTCCTTCTCTTCCTTCTTCCATTGGCTTTTTGAGAAAGGGATTTTCACTGTAGTCCAGGTTGATCTGGTACTATATGACCCAGGCTGACCTCAAACACCTAGCAATCCTCCTGCTTCTGCCTCTTAC